TAAATATCAAGCTACCCTAATGCCATTTGAAAGCTTTGAGAGCCAACTTTACTCTGCCTAGATCGTGCTCAAAAATACCTGAAACTCGACTCAGTTGGCGTAATCCACCAAGCTTCTGTAACACATGGCAAGGCACGTGAGGAGCAAAGGCAATCAAGTGACGAGGCATTAGTGGGCGAGGAGAATCATAACAAATTCCCTAAAAATCAGGAGTTGGGACGTGGCAAGAGAGAGAAAAAGCCAAGTCTAAAGCTAACAGAATCCGTCAGTAGCTAGTTTAAATATTGTTGTTAGTGGAATGTAGGGGATATGACGAATGACGTGTGAACCTTCTTCTCCTCTGATTATTCTCTCTCTGCTCTGATCTTTCTTTCTGTTTCTGCACTATAGCTGTTTATTGAATTTCCTCATTGAAATCAACTACTGTTCCCATCTATAATATTCTATTTTCCCTAAGTCACTACTGTTATATTGCTTTTATACATTACATTTGGTGCTTTCATCACACCATGGCAGACAACACTCGTATGAAAGAGATGTACGTTGAGCTGAAAAAGAATGTTGATGCCATCGACTTGGTTAGTGCATCAATGACCTCACATATTGAGCGATTAGAAGTTGTTGGTCACGCTCAAATGACGAGAATGAAAGAGTTCCAGAGGGCTAACGAAGCACAATTCTCTCAGCTCAACACAACATTGGCTCACTTGCTGCAACGGCTACAAGCGTCTCCCCATGGTGCTTCGAACTCATCAACCAAGGATCCACCGAGGAACCCATTTCAGGTACGATCTGTCAAACTCGAGTTCCCTCGATTTGATGGAAAAAATGTGATGGACTGGATTTTCAAGGCGGAACAATTTTTTTGACTATTATGCTACACCAGATGCTGATAGATTAATTATTGCTTCCGTTCACTTAGATCATGAAGTGGTCCCTTGGTATCAAATGCTTTAGAAAACTGAACCATTCAACTCTTGGCAAACATTTACTAGAGCCCTAGAATTAGATTTTGGACCATCTGCTTATGATTGCCCTCGTGCGACCCTTTTTAAATTGCATCAATGAGTAATCGTTAATGAATACTATATGCAGTTCATCGCCTTGGCTAATAGGGTAAATGGATTAAGTGCAGATGCCATTTTGGATTGTTTTGTTAGTGGATTGCAGGAACAAATTAGTAGGGATGTTAGAGCCATGGAACCCAAAACTTTAACCAAAGCAGTGGCTTTAGCTAAACTGTTTGAAGAAAAATACACTTCCTCACAAAAACCAAAAACATTTTCAAACCTAGTCAGAAATACTAGCCCAAACACTTCAGCCGCACCAAAATATTCAACAAATTTCCAAAAAAATGATAACCCCAAATCTACCTTACCTCCACTCTTACCCACACCACCAGTCAAACCATTCAACAATAGAAACCAAAACATAAAAAAAATTTCCCCTGCTGAGATTCAATTGAGGAGAGAAAAGAACCTATGCTATTTTTGTGATGAGAAATTTTCACCTTCACATAAATGTACTAATAGACAAGTGATGCTGTTACAACTGGATGGGGATGAGGAACACATTCAACATGATAGTCAGGACACAGTAGAGGAGCATGCTGATACAGGTCAAGATACACATCATTTGTCATTAAATGCCTTGAGAGGATCACATGGGGTAGGCACCATAAGATTTACTAGACAAATTGGTAGCATCAGTGTCAAAATCTTAGTGGATGGTGGAAGTTCAGATAATTTCATCCAACCTAGGGTGGCTCAAATATTGAGATTAGTTGTGGAACCTGCACCCAACCTGAGAGTGCTAGTTGGGAATGGTCAGATATTGAACGCATAAGGTTTTATTCAACACTTACCTATGCATATTCAAGGGCAAGAGCTAACCGTGCATGTGTATTTGTTATAAATTTCTGGTGTAGATGTGATTTTAGGCTCTAATTGGTTAGCTACACTAGGTCCTCTTGTGGCTGATTATGCAGCATTAACACTAAAGTTCCTTCAAAATGGTCGGTTTATTACTCTACAAGGTGAAAACAACACACAACCGACGGCAGCACAACTCCATCATTTTAGAAGATTGCATAACACTCATGCTATCGAGGAATGCTTTGCAATTAATTTGATTAAAAAAAATGTACCAGAAGATACACTGTTGGAATTGCCAACCAATATTGAACCGGAACTAGCCGTTTTACTGCACACATATGCGAAAGTGTTTGAAGTCCCCAACTCTCTGCCACCTCATAGAGAACAGGATCATGCAATTACACTAAAACAAGGCTCAGATCCAGTTAAGGTAAGGCCTTACAGGTATCCACATACACAGAAGGAACAGATAGAGAAAATGGTACAAGAAATGCTTCAGCAAGGCATAATCCAACCAAGTACCAGTCCATTTTCTTCCCATATTATCCTTGTAAAAAAAAGATGGAAGCTGGAGGTTCTGCACGAATTATAGAACATTAAATACAATAACTGTGAAAGACAGTTTTCCGATGCCAACTGTCGACGAGTTGCTGGATGAATTGTATAGAGCTAAATATTTCTCAAAATTGGATCTCAGGTCAGGTTACCACCAAATCCTTGTCCAACCGGATGATAGACACAAGACTGCTTTTAGAACACATCATGGACACTATGAATGGCTAGTAATGCCGTTTGGCCTTACAAATGCACCAGCTACATTTCAATGCTTAATGAGCAAAAATTTTCAAGATGTTTTGAGGAAATTTGTCCTTGTGTTCTTTGATGATATTTTGGTATACAACCCTTCTTGGCTATCTCACATAGGGCATTTGGAAGTTGTGTTACAAGTTCTACAACAACACCAGTTGTATGCTAGATTGTCAAAGTGCTCATTTGGGGCCACAGAAGTCGAGTACTTGGGACATAAGGTCTCGGGGAGTGGAGTGGCAATGGAAGTGACTAAAGTGCAAGCAGTGATGGAGTGGCCTACACCAACCAATGTCAAGAAGTTGAGAGGATTTCTAGGCCTCACGGGATATTATAGACGATTTATAAAATCGTATGCTAATATTGCTGGCCCATTAACTGACCTTTTAAAGAAAGACAATTTTTCCTGGAGTCAGCATGCTGAAGCAGCTTTTGTGAAGCTTAAGAAAGCCATGACTGAAGCTCCTGTGTTAGCATTGCCGGATTTTTTTCAACCATTCATTCTCGAGACGGATGCATCAGGTATTGGAGTGGGAGCAGTGCTGGGTCAGAATGGACACCCTATTGCTTATTTTTCAAAGAAGTTAGTTCCGAGAATGCAAAAGCAGTCTGCTTATATTCGAGAGCTGCTAGTTATCACTGAAGCATTAGCCAAATTTTGACATTATTTGTTGGGGAACAAATTCATTATCAGAATTAATCAGAGAAGCTTGAAGAGTTTATTGGATCAATCGCTCCAAACACCAGAACAGCAGGCTTGGCTACATAAATTCCTTAGCTACGATTTCAAAATTGAATATAAATCGGGCAAAGATAATCAAGTGGCGGATGCTCTTTCAAGAATGTTCATGTTAACTTGGTTTGAACCTCATTCATTGTTCTTGGACGAATTGAGATCTAAATTGCAAGGGGTTTCTCACTTGAAGCAACTGATGGAGGAACGTTAAAACTCGTCTGAAGCACATCATTATACAGTGAGAGATGGGTTATTATACTGGAAAGATAGGTTGGTGATACCCAGTGAAGATGGGACGATTCAGATGATACTAAGGGTCTGTTTGGTTGGAGGTAGATGGAGGGGAGGGGAGGGGAGGGGAGGGGAGGGGAGGGAATATTTATAAATATTTGTGTTTGGTTCATTTTTTATAAGGGGAGGGGAGGGGAGGGGAGGGGAGCAAAATCCCTCGTAGACTCATATTTTGCTCCCCCTCAAATTGGGGGGATTTGGAGGGGAGGGAAGATTCATTATTTACAATTTTATTATATTCCCTAATTTAACCTTAATTATTTTTTTAATTCCATGATTGTCCTTATTGAATAATTAAATATTAGGGTTTTTCTTTATGTTGTTTCACGTTTCATTTATTTGTGCGGCTGCTACTTATTTTTACTGAATTTTTCTCTCTTTCTCTCTCTCTCTCTCTCTCTCTCTCTCTCTCTCTCTCTCTTGTAGTTGAAGCTTGCATTTTTGGCTTCCTTTGTTGCTCTTGCAGGTTTGTTTTCTTCAAATTCATTCTCTACAATTTTTCATTATGTTAATTATCGTTGTTTTCGTAATCATTATAATCATTCAATCATTTCATATGAATTATGATAGGGTTGTTTCATTGCTTTATGTTAATTTACAATTCATCATTTTCATGGCTTATTTCATATGAATTATGATAGTTCTTTAACACAATATAATTTCTTCCGTTTACTCTATTGTAGCTATTAATCCTGTAACAAATCTATTGTAGCTATTAATCCTGTAACAAATGACATCACCATGGATATTCCTCTAATATGTATTTGATATTATGAAATTTAAACAGTTAAATTTGTAGAGTAGTCTCCTTGCATAATGAGAGGTGTAAAATTCTATCTATGGAAGCTAATAATAGTGACACAAAAAAACAGTTTTTCATGCACAATTATTTCTTTTACAATAAAAATGAAAGGATCTAAAATATATGTTATTTTTAATAAACTCCATAGAATTTTGTTAAAAATTTCTTAAATTCAAAAGAATAGTGATGGATGATTTAAACATCAATTTTATATTTTACTCTATCTACTCATCTAATCTAACCCCTAGTAGAAACGTGTAAAGAGAAACACAACAATAAAAGTTAAAAGAAGGACAAAATTGTGCCTTGAAAAAAAACACTTCCACCTTGTAGAACTTCAGCAGCTTCTCAACCTCACTGTAAGCCGATTCGCAACCACAGCGTCAATTGAATTTTAGTTCTAACATTATTTTTATTTATTTTAGTTTTAAAATTAACTCTAACATTATTTTATTTATTTTTAATTATAAAAATTTATTTTTTAGATTAGATGGATCATCAAGATCAGAGAATTGTTATCAACAAATGGTTTGATTTACGTCGAAGAGCTATAGTTCAACTACTGTGTGCTATTGTTTACTATTATGTCCGAATGTCTCGTAAGAGAAAATTATGTTATAGTATGAGCTCTGAGAGAGAAAGGGTTCGCGAAGAAATAATGTATCGAATTAGTAATAGTGAAACTAGTAGAAATATATTAAGAATGTGTCCTAAAACTTTTATGAGCTTATGTGGTCTGTTAGAAAGAGAGGGGGGATTACAAGCTACTCGATGGTCAAGTGTGGAAGAGCAAGTTGCAAAATCAATCTACATATTAACACATAATGCTAAAAATCGTGAAGTCAACTTTTGGTTTCGTCGTTCTGGCGAGACTATTAGTCGCCATCTTCATCAAGTTTTGAGAGCTATTCTTGAATTGGAAGAAAAATTTCTTATCCAACCCGATGGCTCAATGGTCCCTCCTGAAATTTCAAGTAATTATAGATTCTACCCGTATTTTAAGGTAAATTTTGTTATTAATAAATTATATTTCCTACCCAAAATTACTAAATTTTTTAGTAGTCATAGATTTTATTGATAAAAATATATAATATTGTGTTAGGATTGTGTTGGTGCAATAGATGGAACACATATACGTGTCAAAGTATCAGCAAAAGATGCTCCTAGATATCGCGGTAGGAAAGACTACCCAACACAAAATATTTTAGCAGCATGTACTTTTGATTTAAAGTTCACTTATGTGCTCGCGGGATGGGAAGGGTCTGCCTCTGATTCGAGAATAATAAAGAATGCATTAACACGTGAAGATAAACTTAAAATTCCTCAAGGTAATATAAGAGTAACCTAAAGTTATAGTTATTTATATTATATTAATATATATATATATATATATATATATATATATATATATATATATATATATATATATATATATATATATATATATATATATATATATATATATATATATATATATATATATATATATATATATATATATATATATATATATATATATATATATATATATATATATATATTAAACCATCACATTTATCATTTACCTTTACTATAGGAAAATATTATCTTGTTGATGCTGGATTCATGTTGACAAGTGGATTAATTACACCTTATAGAGGAGTTCGGTATCACCTGAAAGAATATTCGGCTAGAAATCCACCCCAAAATTCTAAAGAATTGTTTAATCTTCGACATTCGTCTTTACGCAATGCAATTGAAAGAGCGTTTGGTGTATTGAAAAAAAGATTTGAGATTTTATCTAATTCAACAGAGCCAAATTATGGAGTTAAAGCTCAAAAGTTAATCATTTTTGCATGTTGCATTCTTCATAATTATCTAATGAGTGTGGACCCGGATGAAGACCTTATAGCTGAAGTAGATGCTGGAATTGCAAATCAAAATGTATCTAATGACAATCATCAAGGTTCAAGAAGTGATAGAGATGAACTTGCTTTGGGCGGGGTTATAAAAGATAGTGTAGCACATCAAATGTGGTTAAATTATCAAAATAACGATTTAGCTTAAAAAGTCTGACTTGTATTTTATATTATTACTTTTATGTTTATTGTTCTTTGATGAAGTAGTACCAAATTTATTATGATGTGTATTGTGATATTGAGACTTCTTGATAATTATATTTATTAATTTTGTTGTGTTATAATTCTTCATATTCATAGTTTATGGCATCGAAAAATCAACTACCAGTTAATGGTGGTGATTCTGGAACTTTGACTTGGAATAAAGTCATGGATGATGCTCTTGTTGATGCTTTTATGCATGAATATGAAAAAGGTAACAAAGTTAATGGTACATTCACTACATCAGCATATGAAAATATTGCAGCTGAACTCCGTACATTGTTTGGAAACAAAGTTGATAAGGTGAAGATAAAAAACCGTTGGAAAACTTTGAAGAAAAACTTCACTGAATATTATGACATTTTTAAAGGTGGTATGAGTGGATTTTCTTGGAATTCAACTACACAATTATGGGATGCCGAGTCAGAAGTTTGGGATGCTCTAATTGAGGTGACTTTGATGAACTTTTTATTTTATTTTAAAATATTTTATTAATCAATAATTGTATAACTTTTATTAATCTTATATCTTTTATTTATCATACTTTTCAGTCAAAACCAAAAGCATTAAATTGGAAGAATGTACCACTTCCAAATTATGAGAAAATGGTGATACTTTATGGACCTAACCGAGCTGATGGAGAGGAATCTGGAACTTTAAAAGAGACAAGAAAACAAAAGTTATCGGTCACCAATGAAGACTTCGTTGAAACTATCCAAGACATTGATGACCATGTTGTCCGGAATGAGGTGAATTTGGAAAGTTTTGATGCTACTTATGATTTTTCTGTACCCGAAACACAATCCTCAGATCCTTTAAGTGGTAGTAAAAGGAAGAAAATGAAAGTGGTTAAAAACAAAGATACAAACAATGATATTGCTGAACTCCAAGAATCATTTGTCTTAGTTGCAAATGCACTAACAGAAGGAAATGCTGCAATACGAGAAGGAAATGAAATAATGAGAGAACGTCAAAAATATGAGTTGCCTCCAATTTCAGGGGAAGAAACATGGAATTTAATAAAAGAGTGTGGATGTGATGCAAAGTCATTGCCTCAAATATATTGCACTGTCATGAAAGACGCTGACAAACTTAGAATGATTCTCCAGTGTCCACTTGAAGCACGCAAAGCAGTGATAATGCAAATGGTATTTGGTTCATCGGATTGATCATCTTATAATAGTCTTATGAATTTTATGAATATTTTGTTTACAATTTAATATGTTCTGAATATTTTGCTTACATTTTAATATATTTTTGAATATTTTGTTTTAATTTGTGGTGTTTATGAACGAACAAGTTTTTATTTGGTGAAATTTACTCAAACTATTTTTATCTAGTATTGTTTTTAGTGTTACTAAACACAAGTGATAATATTCATAAGGATAAAAATGTAATTTGGTTTTAAAATCCCTCCCCTCCCCTCGTGAACCAAACATATATGTAGTTAAAAATCCCTCCCCTCCCCTCCCCTCCCTTTCTTTGAACCAAACAAATATTAGTTAAAATACATCCCCTCACCTCCCCTCCCCTCCCCTCCCCTTTATTAAAATCCCTCCCCTCCCCTCCCCTCCGTTGAACCAAACGGACCCTAAAGGAATTTCATAGCTCCCCCATTGGTGGTCATGCAGGGATCACAAGAACATTGGCAAGGGTGAAAGCTCAATTTTACTGGCCAAAAATGCAGGAACATGTCAAAGCATTTGTGAACAAATGCTTAATTTGTCAACAAGCTAAAGCAAATAACACTTTACCAGCTGGGTTGCTTCAACCGTTACCGATACCGCAACAGGTTTGGGAAGATGTCGCAATGAACTTCATTACGGGCTTGCCAAATTCATTTGGGTTATCTGTGATTATGGTGGTGATAGATAGACTCATAAAATACACTCATTTTGTGCCTTTAAAAGCTTATTATAATAGCAAGAATGTCGCTGAAGCATTCATGAACAACATAGTTAAGTTGCATGGAGTTCCAAGGTCCATTGTATCTGACAAGGACAAAGTGTTTACTAGTTCCTTTTGGCAACAATTATTTAAGTTACAAGGCACTACCTTAACCATGTCTTCGGCATATCACCCACAATCGGATGGCCAGTCTGAAATATTGAACAAATGCTTAGAAATGTATCTTCGATGCTTCACTTACGAGAATCCTAAAAGTTGGGTCAAAGCTCTTCCTTGGTCAGAATTTTGGTAAAATACTGCTTACCACATGAGCTTAGGCATGACTCCCTTTAAAGCTTTATATGGCAGAGAACCTCCTGCAATTGTCAGACTACCATGCTCCAATGAGGATCCAACATAGGTTAGAGAACAGTTAGCTAACAGAGATGCATTATTAGCTAAGCTTAAAAGCAACCTGCTAAGAGCTCAGCAAGTAATGAAGAATCAAGCTGACAAGAAGCAAAGCAACGTTGTCGCTACTGCGAAAATCGGCGCCGGCTTGACAGGAGAGTCGCCACCGTGCGTTATTTATCCCTCAGAGCGGGAAAGGAAACGCACGAAGTAAACCTCGCAAAGACGGGAAAAGGTATGGTCATCGCAACCAAAACCTGGATTCGGGAGTCGGTTACGCAAGGGGAAGGTATTAGCACCCCTCACGTCCATCGTACTCGATGGGATCCACGCTTGGTGTTTATAAGGAAAAGGGTGTGTTTATCTATCTACTCTAATGGTCAGTCTGAAAAGAAAATAAAAGGACAGGACTCGACAGAACATACGGTGTTCTGGGCCTACGTACTCCCTCGTGCAATGGGAAAGTCAGAGTCAACGTAGTTCGACTACCTACGGCTAAACAGGGGGGCTCTCACACGGCAGTAAGAAAATAAACTGGGCTCAAAGGTTCGGGAACCTACAACTACGATCTGGTCTCAAATGCGCTCGGGCAAGAGAAAAGGGTAATAATTAGTCGTCAGCGGGAAAGTCTCGATCGCACAGCCGCGAGAGAACAAAAGGTTAGTCGTTAGTGTGCTCGCTAGGATATCGCATCCTATGCCTACATATCTTCGTCTGGTACGAGGAATCAGAGCAGCTGTAGTTCAGCTAACTACGACACAAGCTACTCAAAAGCTCCTACTGAAAGGAAAGGGAAAAGACACCCTAAAACTATAGCTGAAAAAAAGGGGAATCTACCTATTGATATCCTGCCTGGTTGACCATCCTAATGTCTATCATAACGACTCCGCAGCGGAGAAGTCAGAGCTCCTAAGGGATCATGGCAACAGGACTAAACGACAAACAAGAAATACTGCAAAGTAAAGTAAAGAAATACTGGAAATATGCATGAATGCAACAACTAAACAATCAAGGCGCAAAGGCCGCAAACCACAGAGGCAAGGGAGCTCAGCTCTACCAAATACCAACAAGCAAAGCCACTCAATAACAAACAAGCAGAAGGAGGACCACCTCGACTTCTCATGCACACAAAGCCTATTTCTAAGATGCACCTACTTCAGAACTATCTAGATGAATACCTAAGTCTAATGCAACACAACACCATACAAATCAAACAACACAAAGAGAAGGCTAGCTAATCTGGCAAACCTCTATCCAAGGCTTAAACAAAAACCCTGAGCAGGGCCCCTAACAAACAAACTTCTAATCTATCTCTAAACAAAACTCTATACAACACCTTAAGCAAAACTCTAAGCAAAACTCTAATCAAAACCCTAAGAAAGAGGAATCAATCCCAGTCTCCAAGCTTCAGAACAAGCTTACCAAAGAGAGGGAGCTAAGCAGACAAACTCATAGTGCCTTCCTCAAGAAAGTACCAGGAGGTTACTACTCAGGAGTCATATCCTATGCGGCTCGACAACTGTGATCAGTTTACCTTCCTCCTCAGGAGAAACTAAACTCACATGAAGGCTCCGGCATCACTGGATACTTGAGAAAGCCTATATGAACTAGAGGAACTAAGTGAACAGACCCACAGGACCTTCCTCAGGAAAGTACTAGGAGGCTGACACTTAGGAATCGTATCCTATGTGGCTCAACAACTGTGATCAGTTTACATTCCTCCTCAGGAGAAATTAAACTCACAAGTTGGCTCCAACATCATTGGATACTTGAGAAATCCTAGATAAACTAATGGAACTAAGTGAATAGACCCATAGGACCTTCCTCAGGAAAGTACTATGAGGCTTCCACTTAGGAATCGTATCCCATGCGGCTCAACAACTGTGATCAGTTTACATTCCTCCTCAGGAGAAATTAAACTCACATGAAGGCTCCAACATCATTGGATACTTAAGAAAGAGGTGAGAAGAAAGAATGAAAGTCATTCATAGTGCCTTCCTCAGGAAAGTACCATAAACTCCCTTCAAACTTCAGGATCTCGAACCTCACAAACAGGGAACAAGCTCCTAGACTAAGCCTCAATCCACTGCATCCGTGCAAGCTCCAACAGGACTTTAACCAGCTCCCATCTTCATGACGAAACCACAGGTCACTAAACCACAAGAAACTATCTCTGAAGTTCAACCACAGTTGAACTTCAAAGTCAGAAGTCATTAAGACTTCTTCTATCCTCAAGCTCAGACTAAAACATATTAGAACATCCTACAAAAATCTACCAAAAATCTATGGGAAACCTACATGGCTCTATGACAACATACTAAAAAATCAGAGCAAAACTCATTACCGGATGAAAGAACTAAAATCAACAAAGCAGACATATCCACAAACCAATTATTCAATATCAATGACAATGCAAAAATGCAATTAAACTGAAAATTCATGATTAAGCTAATGTTTTTGTACTATATAATTCTACATTGAATTACGAGTCTACAGAAAAAAGAACGGAATTATTTGATCGAATCTACTATTTTTTATGAATTTTCTAATAACATGCATGAGCTAAAAGATATTAAAAAAAGTCATGTAAATGGAAAATATACCAAAAATAGCAAACAAAAATAAAATGGCATTTTTATTTTTATTTAATTTTCTAAACATTTTCAGGAAGTGGTAGGAAAAACAAGAAATTAAAAATCAATTGCCTTCATTTTATTATGAATTTTTCAATATGCAAAGAAATATTAAAAGAAATTAGAGAAAACTAAAATAAAATGGAGGGGTTCAAACAACAATGCTTTTCAGTTATTTTTCATGTGGGCCAGAAGATGGGTGGTGTACATAGCAAAGGGCGTAGGCCCATATGAGTCAGAAAGTCAGTTAAAAAATAAAAGAAAATGGAAACTCGTGGGGGGTGCAATCAGTAGGTTTCTCATGTAATTCTTCATTGGGCTTCACGCTATGGGGGTGTGGATAGCAGTGGGCATAAGGCCCAGCCCAATCATTCTATCTCCTCTCTCACAGGGGGGGGGGGGGTGAACGAGTAACGCAGGGAGCAGCATCAGTAACCAGCTTTGGGCCTTACCCAAACCCTAACCCTAACCCAATTAACCCTAACAACAAAACCAAACTTCCCTCCCCCAACCCTAAACACTGTTCACCATCTAACCTAGCCGTCTCCTTCGTTTTCCCCAAATCTCTCCTCTCTGAAACCTATTCTCAAGAAACTTCAACCAACTTTCCCTCAGATCATTCCACAGAACAATCAAACAATTGCTACGAAACCCGAATCTCAACGAAACAATAACATCAAAACTCGCTCGATTAAGCAGAAGAACTAGTGTCATGCTTAGAGAATGCATACCTGGAGAGGAATCAAGCTCGTGGAGTTCTTGAAGGGAACGTTGACGCTCGCTCGAAGACTTCTGGGCAAGCAGTGAAGAACTCCCTGAGTTCTATGAAGATCTGGGAAGAAAACTTCAAGGACTGATGAAGACGATGATTCCGAAGCTGATAGATCTTGAAGGTCCTTTGAGTTGCTTGGATGTTCTGAGGAAGACCTTCAGAAGACCTTTGAATATCTTGATGAGGGAGGACGAACCACGAGGATCTTCTCCGAAGGTTGTTGACGGATCGTGTTCGTTGGTTGATGGAGGTTTCTGGAAATTCCAGATGAACGATGAACGTTTGATGATGTTCTGGAAAAGTTGTTCTTGAGACGCGAGGGAGATTCGATAATCTGGAAAATTATATGAAGTTCCCGGCGGCGTTTTAGGTTTTCCGGTGAGGTGGTGATGAATGTGGACGGAGGAGGAAGATGAAGAAGGGAATGTTTCTGGGAATTTCTGGGTGGAAAACTAGCTCCGGCGAG